CCCCAAAACCCCAAAACCCCAAAACCCCAGAGGAGTGGAGGAATATTGAAATTAGAAATGGAGGTTGGATTTAAGTGGGGGTTATAGACTTGAACTAGGGTTTTCGGAGTTTTCTGAGTTTGCAGAGTTGCTGTTGGAGGGGTTTGAGATGGAAGGGGAGATAGAAGCTTTGTTAAGCGAATTTGGTAGATTTAGGTCCTCTTCTGTTGCTTTGTAAGTTTTATGGCTAGACTAGGAGAAGTTATGATCATCCTCTTACTTGCTTAGTTATGTTTTGCATCTCAATTTCATTCTTATGATTAAAAACATCTAATCCATCCCCTTTAACCACCTTTCATGGTTCAGACTCCTTCTCATCCCTCAAGTCCTCATCTTGTTTCTTTTCCTCACCAAATTCTTTCGATTTCCCTTCCTCTAAACCATTAACTTATGACTCACCCATGACATTATGCCATCTGTCTTCCTCACTTATCTCTTTGCTTTCTTGCTGCTTCTTCTCCTGTCTCTTTTTCCTACATTTCCTTATAAATTTGACAAGGTCTTTCACAGTCGTGACAAGAAGGATTAGAGCAATAATTAATCCATTGGTCATGATGACTATGAGGACTATGTTGGCTAAGCTTGAACTCCAGTCTTGCTCTTTGTTCAAGATGGTTATAAGAATTCAGAAGATGAGGAACAGAGTTTCGTTCAAGATCTCCATAATATTGTTTCTAAGATGCTTGTAAGGTCTAACAATAATGGCATATAATAGTCCTCATAGTTGCACAATATCAAATAGGATTAGCCTTACTAATACTGGGGCTGGTCTTAGGAATACAATGATACATGCACTGAGTGCTCTCCTTATAAAGAAGTATAAATGATATGGCTTTGCCAACCATCCACTTTTGAATCCACTATAGAATTCTGAAAATTTGCTCTTTTTAGGAAATTCTTCTTCATTTCTGTATCTCAGATAATGCCAAAGCATGAGACCTGGGATAGACAATCAGACAACTGTAACCACGATTGCCACTGCATATGAAAATCCTTCCTTTATATCGGTAGCATTCTCTCGAATTTCAGACAAAGAGTTAATGAGCACATACAAAAACCCTTCTATAGCAATTCTCACATACGCCCCAAAAACGAATAACTTCCCAAGAAATTCTGAAATCTTCTGAAAACCCCAACTCTCTTGTCACTTCTTCTTCAGTGCACAGTATAGTACCACAAAAACTGCATGCACAAGCAGAACAACGACCACAACTTTCGAAAAATTATACTGGTTGACTATAATACTTCCAGACTCATATCCGATGAGCTTCAGCCCATTGGCTGGCTGAGGGAAGTCGAATTCTTCTACTATGCCTTCGGATACAGGCCATTTCCAGCTGTCTAGGAATTCGAAGTTGAATGTGAAGAAGGAAAACTCGTCAAGGAAAGCCAATAGTTCATCAGGCATCCCTGTTTCCAGAGTAGGAGTAGAAATCAGTAACTGATATTGATTAATCATCACCCAAGCAGATGATCTTGAACCTGCAGATATTGCTGCAGATGCAACTCCAGAAGAGGTACTAGTCCCTGTGACTGCAGCTGTAGTAGTTCCTAGTGCTTCTTGCACTGGCTCGTCTGGTATGATTCCCTCAGCAGTTTCGTTTACTGTGTTATTTGCTGTGTTATTTGCATTATTTATGCTCTCAATTAGTCATTCTGATATTCCATTGAGGGTGTAGCCTGATTCTCATCTTATACAAATATTTGTTAGCACTGATGAACACACTTCACAGTGAGATATAGTTCAAGAAGGTAGCTGTAAATTTCTGCGTGGGCTAGCTAAATCTGAGGCACTTAGCTCATCCTTACTAAATTGGAAAATTTTAATCGGGTCTGCTTCTGATGAATCAGCAGATGAAATTTCTGTATCTGTATCTTTGTGTCTAACCTGATTTACGGCTATTTCAGAATCATTGTGCCATTTGTCCTCATTCTTATTGCTTATATTCTTTAATTGAGTAAGAGTTTGCATTTTAATAAGTTTCTAAGCACTCTTATAATACTAAAACTACAATAAACTTATCAAAATTGATACTAAAACAGCAAATTCTTGCATCACTACTGTCTTATATTCAAATAACATCCAAATAATCTCCCTCCCACACCTCAAACTCCTCCATACAACTTCACACCAACTAAAAATTTACACTTAACCCATCCCAACTCTCCTAAGTAAAAATCCTTCCTAACACAAATAACCTATTTTAACTACTTTATCCTAAAAACAAGGAACACAATTTGCTAAAATTTAAGCTATATTACCAAGCCCAAAGAACAAATTGGGCCTCTCAGAGGCCTTGCAAGGAAAAGTAATTTTTTATAGTGACATTGGTACTGATAATAGAAATTTCTGACTGGAGTAAAATGAATTTTGGGGAAATAAGGTAAGGGAGTTTTAGGTGGGCTGGTTTGGAGAATGTTAATGGAGGTTGATGTTTAAGGGGGTGAGGAAAGTAGGAAGAGAACTAGTATTTGTAGTTACCGTCGAGGTGGTGGTTGATAAAGAATATGATGTATCCTCAACTGCTTGCATTGTGTATTCATTGAGTGTAAACTTCAGAGATTCACTAAGTAAGTGCAGATCTGTTGGAATGGTTTTAAGTAGTATTCCATCATTTGTATCTGTATTAGTGCCTCCAATGAATATGAAACCATACTTCATAGCAAATGAAACTGCCATAAAAGGATTCTGGCTCCAAGCCTTAATCTTATGCTGATTCAAATCAATTATTAGAATCGAGAATCCTGAAGAAGATGATCTTCCTTGTTCACTAAAATTTAGTTATGAATGATTACCTTTGAGAGATTAATGCATAGATAAATGGAGCTTCCTTTGGTTCAGAGAGTGAGTAGATATATAAAGATGATGCTTCGATATCAGTTGAATATATGACTTTGGTGTTGAAGTCTTCATTGATCTCTACAAATAGCGACTTTCCAGAATTCACAGTAACTCCAGCGAAGTATTTCCCACTACTCAGACTTATCATTCTTGCTCCAGTGCTTGTTTCACATTCGTTAGTGGAGCAACTCAGGCGCAGTGTCAATGTGTTCTCGGTCAAGATGTCACACTTTGCAAAGTCTACAGTAGACCCACTGCCTGATGCCAGATTTCTCCGAGTTGATGATGAAACTGCTCCTAGTACTGAGTATCCAAATTCTGATGAAGATGAAATCTGGTGGACAGCAACAAAGCTTGTTGAACTACAATATAAATGCTAAAAATTACCTTAAAGTGAGTTCTCTGTACAGTGAAATATCTGATGCATGAAAAATTACGATTATAGGTGGATTGGCTCCAAGTGAAGATTTTGCTCCAATAATAACATAAGAACCAGTCACAACTACACAGTCAGACAATCGATGTTACCAATGCTGTTTGCTTTCATAATATTGGTGTATCTTTTGAACTCCAGAGTGCTTCCGGCAGTGAGATTAAGCTTTACAAGTCTGGTTTCTATAGTATCTTCAGATACCAGAAACCCGCTGGTTTCGCTTTGATCGATTGTAAACCCTATGAACAATAAGTTAACATGCAACAAGGAGAGTCTTACCGTTGTAGTCAGGTTCAGCATCAATAAAGATATTCCAAACATTCGAAAGATCGAAGTTTCGTTTGAAGATTTGTGTTACAGAGTTTCTAGAGTTGCAGACTCCCGATCCGAAGATGGCGTCTTCTTTGGTACTCATGATCAGTTGTTTAATCTGTCATGATGAGCCTGATCCTACGCTCCAAGTTTTGAGTTGGGGTTCGAAGGTTTGTGCAGAGTCTGTCCAATTTGCGCTTACTTTTACCATAAAAAGTCTATAAAAATTTAATACTAATCCCAAATCTTCTTTACTGATGGTTTTCATATATAAAATCTGTGTTTCGGTATAAAATTTGCCCAACTTGGATATAAAATCCTTTCTTGGCTTGTATATTTCACTACCCAAAGTTTCACGTTATTTCAAAGCCAGAGTTAAGAGGGCGCAGATTTTGAATCGAGTTCCAAATTTTTCAATAAAATTTTGTGAGAAATTTTTAAAATCCAGAAGTTTACAACATCTTCATAAAAATCTGCAGCTGAAAAATATCAAGTTGCCAAATTTACTCGAAAAGGTGAAAGATAATAAAATATGATCCTTCTTGGATGCTCAGAAAGAACTTTGGTCTTTAATAGCTCAACCTCTCTGGCTTAGGATCCTTAGTGTTATTTTTAAGCCTATTGAATTATCTTTGGTGAGCCAGGCTGTATAAAAGAAGCCAACTAGGGAGCATCAAGCTTGGGGTGGAGTTAACACTAACTTCTCTCTAAGCAAACCTTCCAAACATTTAAGGTTGTTGAGGGTTTGATGTAAATCAAGTAGTGTTTTGCTTAACCTTCAAGATAACCTTCCATATTTACTAAACAAAGCAGCCCTGCTAGATCTTTAGTGTGAAACTCTACATGAATAGATACTTTCGAGGTTGAGAAATGTGTAGTCCTGTCAAATGGTGGTAAGAGTGCTTACAGAATAACAGTGATCAACGTTGTAGCTATTGCTGCAATCATTTTATATTTTAACCAAAGTTCAAATTTATTGAACTAAAAAGGGGTTTTGGGGTTTTGGGGTTTTGGGG